GCTGTTCAGCGGTTAGATACGATTAGCTATCCTAAACGCTGTTAGTCTCAGCATCAAACTTTACAATGAGTAGACTAGAACTTAAAACAAACTCAGAGGAAGTGACTGGCATTTCTACGTCACACTCACGAAACGGCTCGAAGTACTCCATGACGCTGAGAAGTCGTTGTCAGGACGATTGCTGCGCAGGGCCTGGAATGGAGTTCGGACGGTTAACCCCTACAAGGTACGTCGTTTGTGGTTAATAACACATTAATCTTCAAATATTTAGTACATAACTTAGCACCTACAGTTTAACATCACAGTTTAGTACAGCTCGTATCGAAACCGAACAGTTATTGACAGAATGAAACAGTAATTCGAATAAAGGGCGTAACTTACGAAAAACCTTGGGTGGCCTATAAAGACAAACAAAACACTAGAGACTATAGTTCGAACCTATTCAATTATAAATTAACGCTATATATATATATACACGCACACACATATAATATATATATAATATTTAGTGATTTTAAATATTACGTTAACAGTTGCAAATAGGCCATAAACAATGAACCTACTGAATGTATTAATTGTTTAACATTACTGCAGTGTTGTGACATTATTGATATACAGTTAAAACAGTTATATAAAGATAGCAAGTGTTACGGGAAAAATATTATGCTGTTAATTTATTAAACTAATTTGATCTGAATTTTTAGTCTCTCATTTTTAATCATTTGGCCATTTTGCTGTTCCTGCCAAATATACCACAAAAATAATTCCTGGCAAAAATGCACATTCACGTACTACACACGTTTCAACATGCTCAGGTAGGATTTAGTTTGGAAAGTGCGGCCGAACCTAGGTTTAGATCGATATATATATATTGTACACCATACAATAAGTATATCGTGATTGAACGAAGTGAGCGATGCTAACGAAACGCGTACATTACAAATATAATGATGCTAGTGAAACATGTATGTTACGAACTGGTGATGTTAGCGAAACGTGTAGGTTAAAAAATTAGCGATCTAAGCGAAATGAGTAATGATATCCAGGTTAAAATGTAAGTTTAAAAGGGAACGACACTTGCGAACGTGTAGGTTAAAATGTGAGTAGTGCTGACGAGATGTATACTTTAAAAATTAGTAATAATAGTGTTTATGTTTGAAATATTGGGTGGTGATAATGAAAAACATAAATTCAGAAAATAACAGGTGTTACCATTCTGAGAGGCAATCTCCCTCTGGCTCAGCGGTAAGTTGAAGGCTTATAATACTAAAATTCGAGGTTCGGTACCCGCAATGGGCACAGCCCAGATCGCCTGTTGTGTAGTTTTGTACTTAAACACAAATAAACAGAAAGGTAAACTGACATTATATATATATGCATACATAATGTTGTAACGGTTTCTATTGTTGGGTAGGTTTTTTTGTAAATGAGAAACAATCTTACTAAGCACTATAGTGCTTAGTATTTATGGACGGGCCGAGAAAAACATGGTTGCTGCAATCAATCAATTACTCCATGATGCTCACAAACAACTGCTAAAGTTGAATTATTGCCTTATTTGAGCACCTAATTGCTATTATTGAGTGTTTCACAGCTTGTAAGACTCCCAATATCACTGAAAAGTGTTGTTAAAGTGGAGAACTGGGAACTAGCTAAAGAGACAGTGTTCATCT